TATGTATCTAGGAATCTGTCCATTTCTTCTGTGTTTTCCATTTAATTAGAGTACAGGTTCTGGAAGTAGATATTGATGATCCTCTGGATTTCTGCTGGATCTTTTGTAACTTCATGTTTTTCGTTCTTAATTGCATGGAATTGAGCCTTTTCTTTCCTTTTTCTGATAAGGTTGTCTAAAGGTTTATCAATTGTATTTATTCTTTCGAAAAACCAACTCTTTGATCCATTGATTTTTTTGTATCGTTCTCTTAGTCTCCATTGCATTGATTTCTGCTCTGATCTTTATAATTTCCTCTCTTGTAGGAGCTTTGAGTTTGTTATGTTCTTCTTTTTCTAGGACCTTTAGGTTCTGCATTAAGTTGTTTATTTGAGTTCTCTCTGTTTTCCTAATAAGGGCATTCACTGCTATGAGTTTCCCTTCTAGAACTGCATATAGATTCCTGTATGTTGTACTGGCTTTATCATTTTCTTGTAGAAACTAATTTCTTCTCTTATTTCCTCTGTGACCCATTGGTTGTTCAGGAGGGTGTTACTTAATTTCCATGTGTTTGTGGGAGATTGTGGTTTCTTATGTTATTGGCCTCCAATTTTATTGCACTATGGTCTGATAATGTACAGGGGGTAACTTCAATTCTTTTACATTTACTTAGACATGTCCTACGAGCTAGCATGTGGTCTGTTTTGGAGAATGACCTGTGTGCAGCTGAAAAGAATGTGTATTCTGATTTTGTGGGGTGAAACACTCTGTAAACATCTATAAAGTCCATTTGTTCAATAGTTTGATTCAGTTCTAGCATTTCATTGTTAATATTTTGTCTATATGATCTCTTTTGTGAGAGTAGGTTATTGAGGTCCCCCAGTACAATTGTATTAGTGCTTATATGGTTTTTCGTGTCCATTAATATTTGTTTTGTATAGCTGGGGGCATTCATATTTGGTGCATATGTATTTATGATTGTCATCTCTTCCCTTGGATTGTTCCCTTCACAGGGATGTAATGACCATCTTTTCTCTCTTAAGTACTTTTGGTTTGAAATGTACTTTGTCTGCAAATAAGATTGCTACCCTTGCTTTTTTCCAGGTTCCTGTTGCATGGAGAACTGTTTTCCATTCTTTGACTTTCAGTCTATGAATTTCTTTTTGAGTTAGATGTGTTTCTTGTATACAGCATATTGTTGGATTTTCCTTCTTAATCCATTCTACCAGTCTATTTCTTTAGATTGGTGAATTGAGGCCATTAACATTGATGGTTATATTTGATAGATAATGACTCATTCTTGTCATGATGTTTTACTGTTGTTGGCTCTTTTATTTTTTATTTTTTCCCCTTTCCCTTTAGTTTCTTGCCTTGCCTGGTGCCTTCCCTCTGTTGGCCCTCATGGAGTTGTGACCTTCATTGTCTTTTTCTAGGATATTGCTTAGAATTGTTTGGAGTGCTCGTTTGGTAGTCATAAAATTTCTCAGGTGTTCTTTGTTGTGAAAGTATCTAATTTCCCCATTGATTTTGAAAGATAATTTTGCAGGATACAACAGTCTAGGTTGGAAGTTACTTTCTTTTAGGGCTTGAAATAGTTCACTCCAGGCTCTCCTTGATTTGAGG